AACTGTGGACTACATACATTTGCCTATTGCTGATATTTCACTTAAGTGAGATCAAACAGTATTTGTCTTTTTGAGTTACTTCACTCAACATAATGTTTTCAAGGATTACCCATGTTGTAGCATGTCTCAGGAGTTCACTTCTCTTTGTGACTGAGAAACACTCTATTGAATGTATGAGCATATGTACCACATGTTATTTAGCCATACACCAGTCTATTAACATTTAGATTTCAAAAAGCTACCTTTGGGATTCATTAATTTTCTCTTTTGTTTTTTGGTTTTCTGTTTCATTGACTGCTATCTTGATCTTTGTTATTTTTTATTTATTTATTTTTGCTTACTTTCGTTTTGATTTGCACTTCTTTTTCACTAGGTCTTTAAACTGGAAGTTGGTGTCATTGATTTGAGGTCCTTCTTTTCTAACGCAGGCATTTGTTGTTGTTGTTGTTAAGTGCCACTGAGTCAGTACTAACTCACAGCACCCTATATATAGCAGGAAGAAACACAACCTGGACCTGCGCCAATCTCACACTCGTTGCTAGGCCTGAGTCCACTGCTGCGTCCACTGTGCCAGTCATCTCATTGGGGGTCTTCCTCTTTTTTCTCAGACCCTCCACTTTACCAAACATGGTATCTTTCTCCATGGACTGGCTCCTCCTGATAACATGTCCAAGTATGAGAGATGAAGTCTGGACATCTTGGCCTCCAATGAACACTCTGGCTGTACTTCTTCCAACACAGATCTGTTTGTTCTTTTGGCAGTCCATGGCTCTTTCAACATTCTCCTCTAACACCATAACTCAAATGCATCAATTCTTCTACGGTCTTCCTTATTCACCGTCCTTCTGTCACATGCATATGAGGTTATTTAAAATACATGGTTCAGATCAGACATACCTTAGTCCTTAAACTGACATCTTTGCTCTTCAACACTTTGAAAAGGTCTTGTGCAGCAAATCTGCCTAATGCAATACATTGTTCGATTTCTTGGCTGCTGCTTCTATGAGTGTTGATGGTCGATTCCAGAAAAATGAAGTCTTTGACAACCTCAATCTTTTCTCCATTTATATGGATGTTATTAATTGGTCCAATGGTGAGGATTTTTGTTTTCTTTACATTGAGGTGCAACCCATACCGAAAGCTGTCATCTTTGATCTTCATCAGTAAGTACTTTAAGTCCTCTTCGCTTTCAGCAAGCAAGGTTGAATCATCTGCATGTCACTGGTTGTTAATAAGTCTCCCTCCATTGCCCCCAATACAGGCATTTAGTGCTATAAAATTTCACCTAAGTCCTGCTATAAGAGCATCCAAAAAATTCCAATATGTGATACATATATATTCAGCTAAAATACTGTATAATGTCCTTTAATAATATCTCCCTATTATCCAGGAGTCCTCATGTGGTGCTGTGGGATAAAGCACTGGACTGCAAGGTTGGTTTGAACTGCAAGTTTGGTGGTTCAAACTCACAAGGTTGTTATGAGTCGGAACCTACTTGATGGCACTTAAAAATAACAATAATTATCCAGGAGTTATTAAGAAGTGTGTAATTTTGTTTCCATTTATAAATAACTAAAGATGTATCTTGAAATATAATGCTTTCTGTGTTAACATAATATCCAAATTAATGCACTAACCACTAAAGCCAGAGATGAGGAAATTAAAGAATTCTACCAACTTCGTCAGTCTGAAATTGATCAAACATGTAATCAAGATGTATTGATAATTACTGGTGATTGGAATGCAAAGGTTGGAAACAAAGAGGAAGGATTAGTAGCTGGGAAATATGGACTTGGTGAAAGAAATGATGCTGAAGATCGCATGATAGAACTTCGCAAGACTAATGACTCAGTACATAACCACCACCACCACCAATGACAAATACTATTTTTTGCAAATAAATTTTTTAAGCAACATAAAAGACAACTATACACATGGACTTCATCAAATAGAATATACAGAAATCAAATTGACTACATCTGTGGGAAGAGATTGTGGAAAAGCTCAATATCATCAGCCAAAACAAAGCCATGGGACTGTGGAAAAGACTATCAATTGCTCATATTTAAGTTCAGGCTGAAGCTGCATAAATTTCAACAAGTCCAGAAGAGCCAAAATATGACCTTCAAACAAATCTTATCTGAATTTAGAGATCATCTCAATAACAGATTTGATGCATTTGACACTAATGACCAAAGACCAGAAGAGCTGTAAGATGACATCAGGACATTAAAATATTTACTGATAGAGATCAAAAACCACAGCCTTCAATATGGATTGCACCTCAATGTAAAGAAAACAAAATCCTCACCACTTGACCAATAAACAACATCCATATAAATGGAGAAAAGACTGAAGTTGTCAAAGACTTCATTTTGCTCGGATCAACCATCAACACTCATGGAAGCAGCAGTCAAGAAATCAAACGACGTATTGCATTAGGCAAATCTGCTGCATGAGACCTCTTTATCATGTTCAGGAGCAAATCTCTTAGTTTGAGGACTAAACTGTTCCTGACTTAAGCCATAGCCTTATATGTATGTGAAAGTTGAGCAATGAATAAGGAAGACCATAGAAGAATTATTGCATTTGAGTTATGGTGCTAAAGAAGAATATTAAAAGTACCTTGGGCTTCATGAGGAACAAACCAATCTGTGTTGGAAGAATTATAGGCATAATGCTCCTCCGAAGCCCGAATGGTGAGATGTGATCTCTCATACTTTGGACATATTATCAGGAAGGACCAGTCCTTGAAGAAGGACATCATGCTTGTTAAAATAGAGGGTCAGCAAAAAAGAGGAAGACCTCAAATGAGATGGATTGGCACAGTGGCAGCAGCAATGGGTTCAAGCTTAACAAAGACTGTGAGAAAGGCGCAGTTTCATTCCATTGTGTATAGGGTCACTGTGAGTTAGAACCAACTTTATGGCACCTAACAACAACAACAATTTGGTTTCCAAATATCTGAGGATATTTTCCAAGGACTTTTCTATTACTGATTTCGAAGGGAATTCCACTGTAATCTTAGAACATAGTTTGAACCATTTAAAATTTATTGAGATTTGCTCTTATCGTAGAATATATGGTCCATTTTGGTAAATGGTCCCCACGCATATAACAAGAATGTGTTCTGTTGTTGGGTTATTTTTGTTGCTGAGTGCTGTCGAGATGGTTCCAACTCATAGAGACCCTGTATAGGGTTTCCGAGGAGTAGCTGGTGAATTTGAACCACGGACCTTGCAATTCAAACCAACTATGCAGTCCAGTGCTTATCCTACAGCGCCATAGCAGGGTATTCTACAAACGTCAATCAGGTCGAGTTGTTCAGATCCTACTATCTTTGCTGATAGTCAGCTTACTGGCTCTGTCAATTACTGTAAGATGCTACTGACATATCTGGCTAGAATTGTTGGTTTGTCTACTTCTCAGTTTTTGTTTCATGTATTATAAGGTCAGTTATAAGGTACATAAATGTTTGAAATTGTTATGTCCTCTTAATTAAGTGATCCATCCCTTCAGCATTATGAAATGAACTTCTGTGTCTCTAGTAAACACATAGTGGGTTAAGTGTTGGGCTACTAACCACAAAGTTGGTGGTTCAAATTCACCAGTTGTTTGATAGGCTTAAGATGAGACTGTATGCTACCATAAAGATTTATCATTTCAGAAATCCTGTGAAGCCGTTCTACTTTGTACTATAGGGTAGCTCTGACTGGAAATTGCCTGGAAGGCAGTGGATGATGTGGAGAATCTCCCATTCAGTCCATCAGTGTATGTGTATTAGAAATCAGATATTGTAGCATTCACTTCTAGAAGTTTCAGAGAGATTTCTTTTTCTACATCTTCCATGTCTCTCCTTAACTTTTTGAATGTAGACAATGCAGTTACAATAACTGTTTCAATCTTCTCTGTTAATTCTAGCATTTGTGCCAATTCTGGTACCTTCTGATTGACAGATTATTCTCATCATAGAGTCCTATTCACATGCCTCTTCATCTTCATCCTCTTCACATGCATATCCTCCCTTGTCACATGCCTAGCGATCTTTGGTTGAATGCCAGATATTGTGGATTTTACCTTGTTGGGTGCTAGATATTTCTGTTTTCTGTAAATCCTTTCAATTTTCCCAGATACATTCTCACCCTACCCCTTTCTCATCAGCTGCCCTTCCTTTGAAACTCTATTCTTCACTTCACTTCCTACAATTATTCTATCTTATTTTCTCTAATTTGTATTCTTCTTTACCTATTCACTATTGAAAGAAAAAAGAAGTATTTGAGAAGTAACAAAAACTCTAGATCAGTAATCCTCACCTTGTGACATTTTGGGTGAGAAAATTCTTTGTTGTGCAGGCTGCCTTGTGTAATGAAGGACTCTTGAGTGGCATCACTGGCCACTCCTGACTAGTAGCCCCTCTCCTAATTGTGACAATCAAAATGTCTCCAGATATTGCCAAATGTTCACAGGGAGACAAAGTCACACCTGATTGAAGACGACTGTCCTAGACTGACTTTCTTTGGCCAGCTCAGAAAACAGTGTGATATCTTGATGAATGTTCCCGTAGTGGCTCTCCTCTGGTAAATAAAAAACGAGAGAAGAAGATTCTAATCTTCGGTACTGTTTTAAAAGTATATGACCAACAAAAGTATGCTAGAGTGATACTTCCAAAAGAGGCCTGAGAGAAATTCATTTGTGGGAGTGACACAGGATTGGTTTATTTTAATATTTTCTTCAGGTTGATTTATTCAGTGCCACCAATGTGACCAGCTAGAAGGATACAGAATATAGCAATGTAATGCTATTAGACCCACATTAAATCTCTTTTACAAATAAAACACAGTATTTAAAATTAAAATAAATTGATGCCAAAAATAGGCCAGGAAGAAATTCGATGCGGGGATGAAAATGAGGTAAGGGGAAGAGAGAAATCACACAAATAGCACAAGAAACTAGAACCTCTTGTTCTAGAAAAAGGGATAGTCCCCTGGTGCGGCACTCACCTGTGGTTGACACAACATTCTCTGGACTTTCGCTGCACAGCTTTGACAACAGGCTGGTCTTGCCAGAACCCGTGAGGCCTATGCAAACCAGGTCATATTCTGGTCGTGCAGGTGGTGGTCCCTTGCAGCAGAGTGCTCTAAAACACTGCCAGAAGAGGAAAGAGAAAAGCCCTTTTAAAGAAGACCGTGGAAACAAATCAAGGAACATTTGACATGATTAAATCAATGTTAATAAGTAATTAAACAATCTAATGGTAACTTTAAAATGGAGAAGACTGGAGGTCACCAACCCCCTTAACCAAGTGATCGATGTTAGCAGCACCAGGTAGGAAATACTGAGAGACTCTACAAGCCACCGTCCTGCTGTGACTGATGCGCTGTCAGGGACACAACAGCATTCTGCTGCCTTCATGCCAAACGATGCACAAAAAAGCAACCTGAGATGCGTACTACAAAACCACTAGTCTGGGCCCGGCCACAGTTCCCTTGTGGAGCAGGGTGTGGAGTGTCTGCGGAGTCTGGAAGTTGCACTGTTCCTTGGGGACGCGGGTGAGTGCACGGCCCTGGACTTGTTTTTCTGAGATGGCCACGCCTGCGGAGAAGGCCGTGACCTACTACACCCTAGAGGAGATCCAGAAGCACAACAACAGCAACAGCACCTGACTCATCCTGCACCCCAAAGTGTACGATCTCACCAAGGTCTTGGAGGAGCACCCTGGTGGAGAAGAAGTTTTAGGGGAACAAGCTGGTGGTGATGTTACTGAGAACTTTGAGGCTGTTGGTCACTCTATAGATGCTAGTGAAATGTCCCAAGCATACATCATCGGAGAGCTTCATTCAGATGACAGACCAAAGCTAGCTAAACCTTCGGAAACTCTCATCACGACTTTCGATTCTAATTCCAGCTGGTGGACCAATTGGTTGATCCCAGCCATTTCGACCCTGGTGGTAGCCATGATGTACTGCATGTATAGCAGAAGACTAACCCCTTCTCAGAGGGCAAGGAAGGACGGACTGAGAAGCCACTGCAATGTTGTATGGGGAAGGGCAGAGTCGTCCACTGAAAATGATTGCAACGTGCCTGTCCCCCACTCTCTCTCCTACATTAGAAATACAACAAAATGAAAAGGGCCATTCTGTTCTGTCTGTTCTTGGACTTGTCTTTCAGAGAGTGCTTTTTTATTCATCAACCTTATTTGGATGTTTCCCTCTATATAACTCAGTCATGTGATCGTTAAAAAAATCATCTGGTATTGACCCTGTCCCACCATGCGTGCCTGTCTGCTTGGCACACCATTGTCTGTGGCATTCAGAATGCCTTGCTCATGAAGCAACGTCCCTTAGTGTTCTTGTCCTCTAGACCTGAAGGCAGGTGTGACCTGAAGTAAGAAAAGACATCTCCTTGAACGTCTTTGCATCTCATTCACTGACCAAGGACCTCAAGTTTCTGGAAAGCATAGCCTAAGGGTTTCTAGCTGTTGTTTTACCAGAAAAATCGGTGAGAAAAAGAAAAGGTAGGAGCCATAAAAGAGGCTTCACTTCTTCTCTGATCAGGAACACAGTGCCATAAATGCCCTTGAACTCTGAGAGAAAACCACATCTGCCCACTTTCTTGGCTTCAAAATAGCCTTCCAAGGACATTCTCAGTATTGTGAGTTACACATCTTAACAACATTTTTTAATTAAAGGCCAAATTGTTGCTTCCCCAATTTGTCAACACCCAAATATTAAGGAGGATATAGATCATTTGGAATTGCTCTTGGAAGAAATGCTGCTGCAGTGAGGACCACTGTGCGTCAGTGAGGTTCTGTCCACCCTCTTCTCACTGGCAGCTCAGGACAGGCTGGCACGGTCACCTTATCATCCATTTGCTGTTCTCTACCCCAATCTTTTTGTCTTTTAAACTTGGGAACCTGAGGGATACATTTATTAGATTCCAAGTGCTTCATAGTTAGACATGATCATGTTTGTCTACTGGCACGTTAGCCACATAAGCAATAGAGTTCTTCAGAAACGGCTAAAACTCAGGGACAGAATTGTGTACTATTGCAGAGTCTAGATTTTTATAATCAATGGCGTGCATCCCCCTGTCTTCTCTTGATTTGTCACTGAAACCTAGAGTGAATGTGGGCATAGGGGTGGGGAAGGGTGGCTGTACTGTAGGTAAAACATTAGCTTGCAAGAGAATCTTTTATTCCGATTTTAATAAACATCCCTGTAACGAAAAAAATAAAACACACAAAAAAACTAGCCTGTTCTCCCCTAAAAGAGCAGTGCCTTCAAATTCAAAGAAAAGTTGAGGATATCTTCCAGGTTGAAGATGAACTAAGCTTACAAATGAAACGTAGGGCATCCAGATTGGATCCTGAATCAGGAGGGGAAAATGCCATAAATGACCTGTTGGGACAGATGTAGAAAATTCAATATAGACAGCACATCAGATAATAACGGACCGCCACCATGCTGATTCTGACTCACAGCCACCCTTACGGGACAGAGGAGAGCTGTTCCTTGGAATTTCTGAGACTATAAATCTTTATGGGAACACCTGTCTCATCGACTGCATCTTTCTCCCTCAGAATGTCTGGTGGATTTGAATGACCTGCCAACCTTGGGTTAGCAGTCCAATGCCTAACCCATGGTGCCACTAGGTTCCTTATATAATTGTTGTTGTTCAGCTGGTTCCAACTCACAGTGACTCTGTACAGAGTTTCTGAAGGAGTGGCTGATGGGTTTGAACCACCATCCTTTTGGTTAACAGTCCAGTGCTTATCCTACAATGCCACAAATTTAATTCTATTGTGGTTATATAAGGAAAATATTTATTCTTGGAAAACAGCTCAGTATTTAGAGGCAAAGAGTCTTGGTATCTGCAATTACCTGGTTCAAAAAAATCTAAATCTCTATTGCTTCACCTAAAGCAGGGGTGGAGAATGCCCAGGCTGCTGTTCAGATGTCGTTGTTGTTAATTATCATTGAATCGGTTCAGACTCATAGTATACATATATAGGATTCCTAAGGAATAGTTGGTGGGTTTGAACTGCCGCCCTTGTGATTTGCAGTCCCTTGCTGATCCTGTAGGCCCTCAAAATCATTTGGTCTCACCCTGCCAAGGCAACTGCAATCCAGCCATCACATTAAGTGCCATCAAGTTGGTTCTGACTCATAGTAACTCTGTGCAGCATTTCCAAGAAGCAGCTGGTGAGTTTCAACTACCAATTTTGTGGTTCAAACTGACCTTGCAATCCAGTGTTTTATGTACCATGGAGTTGGTTCTGCCTCACAGTGACCCTGTATAGGGTTTCCGTGGCTGCAAATCTTGACAGCAGCAGAAAGCCTCATCTTTCTCCCTCAGTACCGGATAGTTTCAAACGGCTAACCATGAGAGTAACAGCCCAACTCATAACCACTGTGGCTATCAGAGCTCCCTAGCCATCACATTGTTGTTGTTGCTATGTGCCATGCAGTTGGTTCCGACTCATAGCGACCCTGTGCCGGGTTTCCGAAGCTGTAAATCTTTACGGGAGCAGAAAGTCTCACCTTTCTCCCATGGTACAGCTGGTAGTTTTGAACTGCTGACCGTGAGATTAGTAGCCCAATTCATAACCACTACGCTACCAGAGCTCCTTAGCCATCACATTGTTGTTGTTAAGTGCCATCGAGTTGGTTCCGACTCATAGCGACCCTGAACAGGGTTTCCGAGGGTGTAAATCTTTACGGGAGCAAAAAGCCTCATCTTTCTCCCACAGAGCAGCTGGTAGTTTCAAACTGTTGACTTTGTGGTTCGCAGCCCGATTCGTAACCACTATGCTACCAGAGTTCCTTAGCCATCACATTTTGTTGTTGTTGTTAAGTGCCATCGAGTCGGTTCCGACCCATAGCGACCCTGTACACATTAGGGGTGAATTAATTAAATGTTTGACCAAATACAGCAGGCTAATTTTTAAGCTGATCACTTTGTACGGCCTGTGAATGATGCTGTAAGTATCCAACTGGCCCTTGGCAGTAAACAGGTTCTTCAGCCCTGACCTAAGGAGTCTCTGAGTGATGCACTGTCAGCTGCTAAGAAAAAGGCTGGTGGTTTGAGACCACTCAGCGGTAATTCAAAAGACAGACCTGGTGTTTCAATTCCAAAATATCAGTCACTGAAAACTCCACGGAGAACAGTTCTATTCTAACATACACAAGGGTCCCATGAATCATAATTGGCTTGATGGCAACTAGCATTTCTCTGTTGACGGCACTTAACAACACAACATATAATGGAAGCTGTAGTAAATCAAACATGGTAATATGTTAGTGACTGGTGGAGCCAAGTGAAGACTATGCAAGGACATTCTGTGTACTAATCTGACAAATCTTTAAGACAATTTCAAAATAAAGTTTATTTTTTTTTAAAATTATTAAATAGAATCTCTGTCTGTCTGCATCACTACCTACAAAGTCTTACTATCTATATTCTGTTGCAAGTGCCCTTACCTCAGGATAACATGACCCTTTGTAGAGCTTGTGCACCACATAAACCTGTTTCCTCTGTGAAAAATCGGTCAAGGCGATTCAGGAGACCGGATGCCACTCATGTTATTTGTACTGATTGAGGATATCTTCCTTTATATGTTCTAAATGTCCAGTTCTTCCCTTTCTACTTCCAGGATGGCTTTATCAACTTTAGAGATATTACTTAATGGCTGTTACCACCTCAGTGTCTTTCATCTTTACTTATTCAACATCCACTTATGAGGGATCAACTAAGGGAGAGAGGAAGGAGACTTCTGGGTCACCTGAAGATCATGAGAACAGAGACCTATGAAACGCCTGAGCTGCTTCACTCATACAGATAAAATCGGAGGCCTTACTGACAGCCATGCTCTCATAAATCCAGCTGGCTAGTTCCTTTCTCACTTCTCATACGTAGCCATGTAAACTCTAAAAAGCTAATAGGATCTGTCCCTCCTTTCCAACACCAGTTACCATCACCTGGACCATATCGATATTCTTCCAACTGGCCTCAGTATATTGATTCTCGCCTTCTCTATCCCCACACTGCAGGCACTGTGATCACTTGTAAAAGATGTATCTGTTTCTAGCTTCTTAAATTCCCTCAGTGACTCACCACTGCTCTTGTGTCCAAACCATTACCATGGT